TTTCTCAGTGCCTTATCTATGGTGCTAAAATGGCTAATGTGGGCAAAAAAAAAAATCCTCTAGCTTTTCTCAGTGCCTTATCTATGGTGCTAAAATGGCTAATGTGGGCCTTTAAAAAAATCCTCTAGCTTTTCTCAGTGCCTTATCTATGGTGCTAAAATGGCTAATGTGGGCCCTCTAGCACTTCATATCTATATCTATGGTACTGGGGTGGCCAAAGTGGCTTCTCTGGTAGCCCGCTGCACTCTCCATGGTACTGAAGGGATGACCATTTGTTTTAACATCACTCTGGGGTCCAGAAGAGTTCTGTGACTTAGAACCACAAAAGTTTCAAGATGGGAGGGACCATTGTTATAATTTAGTTCAACCCCATTATTTTATAGTTGAGTAAACTGGGAAGTTAAGTGACTTACTGAAGGTTGTAGGGCTATTAATAGTCAGACTGGGCCCACAATAGCCTTGTACCCCCTCAGTCCTATTCCGGTTCACCTTTCGTGAGACTGTTCAGTGAGCCCATCTAGGCTCTTGGTCCCAGGAAAGGGGTTTATTTGGAAGATCTAGAGGATGAGGGTGGATGCCCTAATTTGGAATTACAGAAATACACATATTAAGTGGTGGTGGAGGTCGTCTAGTGACCCTTGGACAAGGATACCTTGTTAATTAATCTCCTGTTAATAATACTGTCATAGCCTAGATTCCATATGTAACAGGCACCTGCCCCTTCATGAAGTCTTACCACATCCACTAAATGTCAAAAATAAAAGAAGCCTTGGACCTCCAGAGCCTTTTCTCTCTCTGATAGCAGGGCTGACTCCCGGCCCAGTTCTCTTCTATTAAAGATCCTTAAGCAAAGTAATACTTGAGTCCTTTTCTTTCTCAGTAACCTACTTCAGTTTCATATGCCTCTATTGTAAGGAAGTTCTTTATATCTCAAATATTCTTAGGCAAAAAAAAAAAAAAATTAGGTTAGGCAGGTCCACATTCATCTAGCCTTGATCACATACAATTCTATATGGAGGCAAAAGGTAGGCTGGACGACTTTTGGTCATCTTCCGAGGCCTATTTCCATGAATCTTAATTCTGTGTTTGCTTCTAAGTCCTAATGCTGACCTCTGCAGCTTAAAATCAGGACCCCCCCCCTCCCCATCTCAGTGCTCTTCTCCTTCCCCAGTACTAGAGCTCTGCATATCCCAGGCCCAGGGAATTTTAGCCTGGAGAATTTTAACCCCTTCCTGCTCAGAGCATGTGCTGAGCCCCTATCTGTGCAGATGGCCCAGCCCCGCCCCCCGTCCCTCACTCCAGCCTCTTGAGCTCAGAGCCAGTGTAATCCTCCTCTTGTGTGAGGGAGCCTCTCCCCTGCAGAGAGGAGGAAAGCCTGCTTCGGAACAGCCCTGGACAAAGGGGCTGAGATGCCCCATCAAACCGCAGTCTCCAAGGTTTGAAACAAGGGGATGAATCCTATACGGTATTTGCAGTTTTTAACCCCTTCCCCAGGCTGGCAGTGCCCGTTAACTTCCACTCCTCCCCCAACTCTCCCTTCATTCCCTCTCCCTCTGGCTCTCTCCCCCTTCGTGCCCCTCCCCCTCTGTCTGTCTCCAGACTCTCTGCTGCTGGGAGGTGTTTCTCTCCCATGCATGAATGAGTCTCTGTAATGAATGGAAATGAATGGATCAGGAATCCAGGCGGAGGGAGGGAGGATGAGGGGAAAAGACAGAAAGAGTAAGGGCAGAAGGAAGGACTGTGGACACTGGAGGGATGTTTGGCTGGCTGGTCACTTAGGGGTCTGAGAGCAACTGGTCCCACATCAATAACCGGGAAGCACAGCAAGACCACCCCATTTGCTCATCAAGTTGCACAGCCCAACCCAAATGGGAGAGGGGTATACTATGCTGGTCTCCCCCACCACCAGGGGGTGGGTGGTGGTGGTCGTCGTTCTGGACCAGACATTTTAAATGTAATTTGGGAGGGGGGGGGGATCTGGGTTATCAGGGAGCATTATGGGCTTGGCAAATCAAGGGGTACAGTTTTTGAGGGCAGCCGCCCCCTTGTGCCTCAGGATGCAAGTAGGGAGAAAGTATAGGTTTGAAGAATACAGGGTGCTAAGAGTCTGGGATGGGGATGGCTCTTTCAACTGCTAAAAATCAGGGCTCATCTTTTCCTCCAAATCTGTCTCTCTTGCTTTAGCTCCTCAGCACCTGTTGCCTTCATTAGCAGCTTTTCCTCCTCTTCCCTGCACTCCCCAGAACCAAAGAATGTGAAGGGGGTCCATGGAGGTGAGTGAAGCTCTGGCCTCAACGTACAAGTACCTACAACTGTACTCCCTCACCTGCCTACCTTTCTCTCTCTTTGACCTCTCATTATTAGAAGTTATCTCCTTGGCCCCAACATCTCAATTCCCATCCATCCCCCAACTTTCCGAGGTGAGTGGCACCCGGTGTTCCTGGCTCAAGCCCAACCCACCCTCCCTCGCGTTCTTTTGGACTTCGATGCCCCTGCTTCCTCCACAGCTCTTCTTCCTCCACCCTTTGCTCCACTTGCATCTTTCTCCACAGGGTTCACGTCCCCGCGCCCTGGGCGGCCACTTAGCGCCATCGCCGCAGGCCTTCGACGGCGAGCTGGATCTGCAGCGCTACTCCAACGGGCCAGGCGTGAGCGCGGGGTCGTCTGGGATGGGAGCTGTGGGCTGGTCTGAAAGTCGTGCAGGCGAACGGCGCTTTCCCTGCCCTGTATGCGGGAAGCGCTTCCGCTTCAACTCCATTCTGGCTTTGCACCTGCGGGCGCACCCAGGTGCCCAGGCCTTCCAGTGCCCTCACTGCGGCCACCGCTCAGCGCAGCGGGCTTTGCTGCGCTCGCACCTGCGCACGCACCAGCCTGAGCGCCCACGTAGTCCCGCTGCACGCCTGTTGCTGGAGTTGGAGGAGCGCGCCCTACTACGCGAGGCCCGACTGGGGAGAGCCCGAAGCTCAGGAAGCATGCAGGCCATCCCTGCCACTGAGGGTCTGGTGCGGCCCCAGGCTTCGTCGTCGTCTGCCTTCCGTTGCCCCTTCTGCAAAGGCAAGTTTCGCACCTCGGCGGAGCGCGAACGTCACCTGCACATTCTACACAGGCCCTGGAAGTGCGGCTTATGCAGTTTCGGCTCCAGCCAGGAGGAGGAGCTGCTGCACCACAGCCTGACGGCCCACGGGGCTTCCGAGCGCCCCCTGGCGGCCACCTCCACTGCGCCCCAGCCCCAGCCCCAGCCTCAGCCTCCACCCCAGCCCGAACCCAGATCGGTCCCCGAGCCGGAGCCGGAGCCCGACCGTGAGGCCGCCCCGGCCCCAGCTCCTGCAGCTCCTGAGGAGCCCCCAGCACCTCCGGAGTTCCGCTGCCAAGTGTGCGGCCAGAGCTTTACACAGTCCTGGTTTCTCAAAGGCCACATGCGCAAGCACAAGGCCTCCTTCGATCACGCATGTCCCGTGTGTGGCCGCTGCTTCAAGGAGCCCTGGTTCCTTAAGAACCACATGAAGGTGCACGCCAGCAAGCTGGGCCCACTGCGTGCCCCGGGGCCTGGCTCTGGGCCTGCTCGAGCCCCCCAACCCCCTGACCTGGGCCTGCTGGCCTATGAGCCGCTGGGCCCCGCACTCCTCTTGGCCCCGGCGCCCACCCCGGCCGAGCGCCGTGAGCCCCCAAGCCTCCTGGGCTACCTGAGCCTGCGAGCTGGCGAAGCCAGACCCAATGGCGAGGGCGCCGAGCCTGGGGCCGGCCGCAGCTTCGGAGGCTTCCGCCCGCTGCCCTCCACTCTCCCGGCCCGGGCCCGCCGGAACCGCGCGGAAGAGCCGGAGGAGGAAGAGGAGGTGGTGGAGGCGGAGGAGGAGACCTGGGCCCGGGTCAGGTCGCTGGGCCCTCTGGCTTCCCTGCACCCGCGCCCGGGCGAGGGGCAAGGGCACTCTGCACCTGCCGCGGGGTCCCAGGCAAGGTCGGCCGCCACGCAGGGTACGTAGGGACTCTCCTCTCTCCTCGTGTCCCGCGTCCTCGGCCTGCTCTGACGCCACCGCTCTCCTCTTGTAGCTTCTTAAAAGGGCGTCTTTTATTTCTCACGTTTTGTTTTGTTGGCTTTGCTACCTTTTGAGGGCACTAACTCTTTAACTCACAACAAACCCAATCCCTCAGGTTCCCTCTAACCTGCTGTTTCCTCCGGGGCCCCGGGGGGAAGCCATTTTATGGGGTGGGGGGCGGGGGAGGTGCGCGTGGCCCGGCAGTGCCCCTCTGACTTACTCTTAACGTGTGTATTGCAGAAGAGAATGGGCTGTTGGTAGGAGGGACCCGGCCTGAAGGGGGTCGGGGGGCCACCGGCAAGGATTGTCCCTTCTGTGGAAAATCTTTCCGCTCAGCGCATCACCTCAAAGTGCACCTGAGAGTACACACAGGTGAGGGAGGCAGCCTCTGGCGTGCGGAGGGGACTGGAGGGCAGGAAGAAAGGGCGTCGGGAAACGCCGGAGGTGACATTCCAAAGCCTTCAGCTTGGCTAGATGAGATCAGTTGGGAAATGCTCCTTTATCAGATCACGGGGGGGGGGGGGGGGGGGGGGGGGGGGGGGGAGAGGCAGTGTTTTTTACTGGTCCGGAGGATGAGGTCTGTAAGTTGGGCGACAGGCGGGTGGGGGCGTGCAGAGAACGTGACCCCGTGACCCTATCCTCTCCCCAGGCGAGCGCCCCTACAAGTGTCCGCACTGCGACTACGCGGGCACCCAGTCTGGTTCGCTCAAGTATCACCTGCAGCGTCACCACCGGGAGCAGAGGAGCGGGGCAGGCCCTGGGCCACCCCCAGAGCCGCCGC